GGGATTTTTGGGGAAAAAAAAAAAAAAAATTTGAGATTTTTGGGCTCTGAGCCCAAATTTGGGTCAAAATCAAAAAATTTTGGGTCAAAATCCGGAAATTTTGGGTCAAAATCCGGAAATTTTGGGTTAAAATTCTGCAAATTTTGGGTTAAAAACCCAAAATTTTGGTTAAAAAAACCCCAAATTTTTGTGAATTTGTTGAATTTGTGAAATTTGTACATTTTGAATTATTTTATTTTATTTTATTTTATTTTATTTTATTTTAATTTTTTATATTTTATTTTATTTTATTTTATTCTATTTTTTATTTTATTTTATTTTAATTTATTTTATTTTACTTAATTTTATTTTATTTTAATTTTTTATATTTTATTTTATTTTATTTTATTCTATTTTATTTTAATTTATTTTATTTCATTTTATTTTATTTTATTTTTTTTTACTTTAATTTTTTTTATTTTATTTCATTTTATTTCATTTTTATTTTATTTTATTTTATTTTATTTTATTTTATTTTATTTTTATTTTATATTTGTATTTATATGAATATTCATATTTATATTTATAATTAATTTTAATTTTAATTTTAATTTTAATTTAGATTTTAATTTTAATTTTAATTTTAATTTCATTTATTTTATTCTCGCAGGTTTTTTCTGTGTTTTATATTTATATTTTAATTTTAATTTTCATTTTAATTTTAATTTTAATTTAATTTAATTAATTAATTTTATTCCCAGGTTATTTCTGGGTGTTTTATATTGATATTTATTTTTAATTCTCATTTAATTTTAATTTAATTAATTAATTAATTAATTAATATCCCCAGGCTATTTCTGGGTGTTTTATATTGATATTTATATTTAATTTTAATTTTTAATTAATTTAATTAATTAATTAATTAGTTTCTATTTCCCAGGCTATTTCTGGGTGTTTTATATTTTTAATTTAATTTTAATCAATTAATTAATTTAATTAATTAATCAATTAATTTCTATTTCCCAGGCTATTTCTGGGTGTTTTATATTTTAATTTAATTAATTCAATTAATTAATTTATTAATTAACATCCCCAGGCTATTTCTGGGTGTTTTATATTGATATTTAATTTTAATTTAATTAATTTAATCAATTAATCAATTAATTTCTATTTCCCAGGTTATTTCTGGGTGGTTTATATCTTAAATTTTA